TCACTTGACCAACTGGGTACTTATCCTTGCCATCAAAGCTGATACTCTCACCGACTTGATGGCCTCAACCACCAACTTAGCGAACTCGGCATCAGTACTGAGGAGAGGCACGCTACTACCGCTTGGAAGGAGTAATAATATTACCAATGAATTTTGAGCTGAGACTAGTCTTAGCGATATTCACGAGGACTTGCTCATCGAGTGTCTTGGTCTTAACACCCAACGCATGTGGTACGTACTTAACACATTCCTTCATAGCAGCGCGATAGCCCTATAAGCAGAGTCACAACCCACAGGCTATGCCGCCACCCTCACCTGTATGACGTTGGTAGCATGAATGCCTCCTTTGATGAGCTCATTAGCCTTCTTTAAAAGTTCAGCAGCAACAAGTACAACAGATGTCGTACCATCACCGACCTCTTGGTCCTGTAGGTTTGAGAGCTGTTGGAGGACCTGATCATCATCATGATCACTACTTCCCCCTCAGAGTGGAGGCCAATGAATACCTTAGCCGCGGGATGCTGCACTTCAAGCTTCCTCATAATAGTAGCACCATCGTTGGTGACAGTGACATCACCAATGTCATCGACTAACATCTTATCCAAACCTTGAGGACCCAAAGATGACTTCAAAATATTGGCAACGGCCACCTGAATCGGTGCATGAGGGTAATGGCTTAGGCTGAGGGGAGGTCTTATTATTACAACAGCTGTGACGTTAGCGTTCCGAACCTCTTGTCCATGGACACGGGCTCCATCAACACTCAAGGGAGATGACATCAGAAAAGTAGAGGAACCACAAAACCGGGGAGGCTGAAGGGGAATCTTACAGAGTGCGGAGAAGCAGGGAAGCCTTGCAAAAACCGTAAACTCCATCGTTGAGAGAGCTCAAGGTAGTATAAGAATGCAAGATTGATTAGTAATGACCATGGTGAAAGTAGCCATATCATGGAGGTTGCCAGCGTAGACCCCATAGTGAAGGAGCGGTCGGGTAGTAACGGAAGGACCTAATCTGTGGCCTTCAATTTAATGCGCATCAGAGCTACTGGAGCGTACAGCCCTCCGTGCCTGTGCTCATCTTCTGGTACCATCATCCTGCCCTCCTACTATACTACTACGTAGTCTGCATAGCTTTCTAGCATGTGTACTAACTAGATGGTGACTACTAGGAGTGGGAGGCTTTTCATTACAGGTAGGGGTTATGACGGCCAAAGGCAGTGGGAAGGACTTCGAGGTTGAGGAGATGATAGTCAGGGAGATGTATTCAATATCCTATCATTAACGAGAGTGATCGTACCTTCCTACAGGTCGAGAATGCTCATGCGGCCATCACGAGAGGATTTGCCAGCCCTACCGGAGAGGCTGCGAAGGCATTCATCTCCCAGACGCGTCACGGCGTTCGAGCCCAGCGGGGACGAGGAGGTAGTAGTAGTAGTAGTAGTAGTAGTAGTAGTAGTAGTAGTAGTAGTAGTAGTAGTAGTTGTTGTTGTTGTAGTAGTAGTAGTAGTAGTAGTAGTAGTAGTAGTAGTAGTAGTAGAAGTGGCCTTCCTACACTTCATCGGAATCAACGCCCTTAGCGAGGTTCAATGTACCGCGTTTTACACAGGTTTCCGTTATTGATATCTGTAAAGTATTGGCCCTCGCCCTTCTCGATGTTGAAGGGAAGATGGTAGAGGATTTTGCCAACGAAGCCACGGTAGGTTGTTGACGCCTTCCCCCCTCCCAGTACAAGCCTTTCCGCCAGAATGAGCCTCGAGAACGTTTGATTGCAGCACTGAAGCTGTTGATGGGTACTCCTACAGCCTTGGAGCGAATGAAGACGATCGAGTTAACTTATGGAGGTGTCGAAGAACACGAGGCTCCACTCTCTGGTGCGTTAACGAATGAATCAAGACAGCAATACCATTACAGACTCGACCACCAGCCCTGTTGTGGGCCGCTCGCGCCGACGGAGGACCGTTCGCTCCTCGGCTTCGTCATCGTCTCCATCGACCATTGCACTCACTTCCTCACCCTTGCCTGGAGGCACGGACGCCTCGTCAA